GATATACACATTAATATGTAAATTGTGTCAACATGTAATTTATTTTTTTATTCCTTCTCCTTGGCATATTTTCCCTATCCAAATTGTATGTACCTAAGTGAAATTCATAAAAGTATACATAAAAGTAACATTGAATAAATATTATCAGGCATACATAACTTTTCTTAATCTGTTTAATGATGGTAAACGAGACTAATTGCGAACTAGGAATAGAGCAGTTTATATATTTATGTATATCAATAAAGATACAATACCGAAAGAACAATTTCTTAGGACGGGTATGTTACATGACATCAACATGTCGAAGAAAATTAATAATAATAACTCCATTAGTTTTAGTCAAATTCGGATTAAAATTAATAATTTAGATTCATTTGACCAATTGATTTTGCTAACAAATCGAGACATATCCTTTCCTACTTCGATTTTAATTCCATTAATTAACTAATTTTGATTTTTATTCTTAAGTACTAGTACGTAACCCGTGCGATGCACGAGATGTAAAATTTGGAAGAATAATATAACCTCACGTGCATTAGGATCGAAATTGAAATCATTAAAATACATAGGAACATTGTTGAATCATAAAAAGTTTGGTAACAATCATATATTATTAAAAACCTCCTTGTACACAACATTATGCGTTTGATTATTTGGTAACTCCTCATTATCACAAACTAATATTTTCAAAAGAGACAAATCCTAAAAATCAAACTAATATTTTTGGTGAACAAACTAATATTTTAGGATTGGTGAACAAACTAATATTTTAGAATTTCTAGTATTTGTCTCTTTTTGGTGAACAAACTAATATTTTAGGATTGATTATATGAATAAGGCTACCTGTTTTTGGTGTTCTTTTCATTCATTTTTATTCAAACAATCCGATGACTTGTATAATGAAATCCGAATCTTAAGTCGAAATATTTAAAAAAAGAGTTTTTAAAAATTAAAAAGTCAAGGCAATCAGTTCAGATTAATTAAAGGTCAAAGAATATCCGCTCCTTGAAATGAAGACGTGTGCTATCATTAACCAAATATCCGGTTACTGATATAGAGTGGTTACCAAAAAATAGAATGCGATAAGGACGCTTCATGGAAATATCAATGGGATAAGGTCATAACAGATGGCTATACATTTTAATGATAAAAGCTCATATGGATGATTTATGATAATTATGTCGTAGTTAATGAATTAATTAGATGTGTGAAAAGGACATAATTAATGAGAAGTTAGAAAAAAGACATAATTAATGAGAAGTGTGAAAAGGACATAATTAATGAGAAGTGTGAAAAGGACAAAAACTTACCGGTTTTGTAAAATATTTAATGCAAATCCGACATTGACCATAATTTGACCTACTATATTGAATAAGTATTAATTCTTATTATATAAGTACTAGTACGTAACTCGTGCGATGCACGAGCTATATTTTTTTTAGTATATTATAAATTGAAGTGTATTAATAAATAAAATAGTGAAATATTATAGATTAAAATGTATTAATGAATAAAAGAGTGATAATACGTAGGCAAGTTGTCAAATAATAAAAATGTTTTTCAAGAAAAAATAATAGGTAATTAAAGACTTATTTGTACACAACATTATTATTTTGGGTACTGGAAAACCCGTCGTCCTACAAACTAATATTTTCAAGTCATTACTATTACTTACACACGAAAAAACAACATATAATTTGTCATGACAAAAAATGGACTTTCTTTATCATCATGCATACAAAACTATAAGTAGGAACTGGTACCGCTGGAACTTAAATGGAAGCATAAGATCAGAAGGATTTATTTCATATGATAATTTACATGGTAGTTCGACAAATGCTATTAGCTTATTATTTTAATATCGATTATACTTGATTAGCTAAAAAATATTTACTAATAGGTTTATACTTTTTTTAAAAATTATTTTGTAAGTAAAACATGTTTTATAACACTTAAATTTTAAAATACATATTTAATGTTCTTTTATATAATTAAAAAAGTGTATATATATGTATATTATATATATATACCTTAATCTAAAGGATGTGTAAAATAATTGCACAAATAACATGTTTAAAAATATATAAAATATTAAAAATGTGAATAATATGTATTACCGTCTTAAGAAAATATTAGTAATTATATGCATTAATAATATATATTACCGACAAAATATGTATGAATAATATATATTACAACCTGCAAAACATTAAACATTACATCTTATAATATAAAATATGAAAATATAAATAATTTTACATTAATTCATGCTAATTTTTTTAAGCCGAACAATTTTTAATTGGACAACTGTCCTATTATATGTATGAAAAATTTTTTTATAGTAAATTTTTATATATAGATATAGATTTTTCATAGCATATTTATATTTTGTGCATGCGGAAAATAGAAATATGATTTACGACACAAAATTTCAAAAATTTTGTTTTTAAAAATAATGGTAGGAAACAATTTGTATATATCTCATAACAAATATTTCCTCCATAAACAAATATAAATAATCCTATAAAATTGTATTTTGTGTGTATAACGCATGCCAATCTAAATCGTTGATTCTAATAAATATGTTAAAATAAAAAAATCCTTTGTAGATGAGAATTTTAAAATCGGAAATTATTTTTGTGTATATAACATATATGCTAATCCAAATCAATGATTCTCATAAATCTGCTAAAGTAAAAAAGAATCCTGCATTACTAAGAATTCCAAAATCAACTGTCTAATTATTTACATAATCTTTCCCTACCAAAAAACTATAAATGTAAATAAAGGAAACTGGGTATTGACTAAAACAAACATAAACTGAAACCCTAATTATATAGAAATTATGCATTAATGATTTATTGTTTTATTTAAACTTATATTATATTATTTCTATCTATAGTAAGTAATAAATGTCTTTAGCAGGAAATTCTTTCTAAAGTTAAATTAACCTTATTTTATTTTAAATATATAAATTTTGTTATGATCTTATCCTATATACAATATTTATATTACTTTAGATAATGATGATTTCCGTTTTCTTTTCCAACTGATTATATGTTTCCTTAAATTTAAGATATGTCAATTGGAACAATATGGTATGCTTTTATTTTGTATATTTTAATAAAAAGTAATATAAGCTCCGATTTGAGAATAGAGACATGATATTATTTGTAATTTTGAAAAAAAAAATCACTTTCATATAGAAAGGAAATATAAGATTTCACAAAATCGTTTTTGTGTTTAAGAAAGAATTTAATATTGTTGGACTTCTATGAATCATTAAAATATAGAAATCTTTTAAATCATTTGGATTAGTTACGTGTTTATTTTAAACAACTAATAGTATTTTAGATAGTTTGGATTATAAGAATCACAAAAATCTTTTTATCTAATTCATATTTAAATTCGTTTGAAAATGTGTACGACATACTTCAAATTGAAAAACAATCCTAGAGCTTACACACAGGCACCATTCACATTTTTTTGAGAGATCAAATTTTCACATACTGCAGGACCATTCATAGTACCATATGAACTAATAATACCCATATATTGCTGCAGTGGAAAACAAACTACAAAAAGAAAGTAACAAAAGAAGAGCAATCCCATTCCATATTATACACATCGATCGAACAACTAAAAACGTTACTTTAATCGAACGATAATACCACACATTACATCACATAAGATAATCGGATGTTCAATAATATATCAATGTTCGACTGATCGGATTTTTTCCTCCTTAGAACGAAAACCCAAGTGATCGCCTCCAAAAATACAAAAAATACCTCCCAAAATTGAAATCAAGACAATATACGCAGTTTTCCACTTGTTCTGGGGCTGTAAAATGCCAAGACCTTTGAACACATTGATGACTCCGAGGATTAGAATTGTATATCCTATCCCGTGGCGGTAGATATTCCAATAAAATCGAATTTTGTGTTCTTTGTCGGGTCTCAACAGCAAGGCAAATATCTATGTATGATGATGCGAAACATAGACCAAAACAACCACATATTAGCAAAAATGGGATCACCATATTCAGAAATAAAATGGGCTTAGAGTTAAAATGATCTCTAATCGTCATTCTATATTCAAATGATTCAATTAAAAGCAACATAACCTGTCTTGCATGCACCTAAGAGTTACCGCAGCTTGTTTACGAACTTGTCTGCCTCGGACTATGGCTTGGAGCCTCACCAATCCTTTTAATGCCCTTAAAGCCCTTCTTGCCTAATGAAAATCCCCCCATCAACATTTCATTACAAATTCAATACACAAAAGCCACCAAAACTCAAGCAGGCAAAGAAAATCAAACGGTGAGATTTTTCTGTGTCACATTATTTTAATCAACTCCCAATTGCAACATATATAAAGAGCCAAGAAACCAAAAGGTGAGATTTTTTTTTTTTTTTTTTTTTTTTTTTAAAGAGCCAAGAAACCAAAAAGTGAGATTTTTTTTTCTTTTGCTTTTCTCAACTGAACCAATCCAAACAGCAAATCTCACATAAAAGAAGAATGCAAACAAATAAAAGAACATTTTTTTTATTCAACTTAAGAAATACTGACCAAAAATCCTCTGAAAGCAGTTTGGATTCTAATGGCGGCCCATTCTTTTCTTACAGCCTTAAAATCTTTAGGAGGAGCCCTGACAACAGTTGCAACAGCAGCATTAAAAGCATCATTGTTCATGGATGAAGATTCTGTGGAGAAATTTGAGCCGCTCAGTTATTTGAATCCTTTCCATGAGGACCCACTTAGATCCAACGACGAACTCCTCCAAATCCTCCATTTTTTGCCCTTTCTACCAACTTTTTCCTTTTGAAAAGACAGTGGTTTTAAACACAAAGTGAATAAAATAGACAAAAAGGGTAATAAAATTAGCAGGGGAACGTATATTTAACAGACAGAGGAAAATGCTAGCTAAATATTAGTTTGGCATTTAAATATTATTGAGCATCATTTTCACTTCATGAAGAGTTTTCCACACTCACATTTTCCTCGGCACAATAAAGGTTTGTGGCAATAATTCCAGTTGGTCCTCTCTTTAACCATCCACACATATATAAGCCGGCCTCGTATTGCATATGATCTTGTGAAGCATCAACCAATACACGCCCTCCATGATTTGGAACAATTCCTGTAAGAAAATCTAAATATAATATATATATTGCAGAGTTTTATGCCAATCTATTCTCTTCAGAAGGGAGTTGGGGAGGTGATACCTTGCTTCCACTAATCCCTACATCAATCACTCCTGATTTGAATGATGAGCTTTTAAAACCAGTTGAAGAGAAAGAAGTCAAAGAAGCCTTATTCAATTTGCATCCTGACAAAGCACCTGGTGAAGAAGGTATGAGTGCTATCTTTTACCAACACTTCTGGACTCTCATTAAAGAAGATCTGTTAGCTGCTATTCTCAGTTTTTTTCACTCCGGAATGATGCTTAAGTATTGGAACCATACAATATTATCTCTCATTCCCAAATGCAATAACCCTGAAACCTTGAGTCATTTTCGGCCTATCAGCCTGTGCAGTGTGGTTTATAAGGTTTTATCTAAAATTCTTGCTCAAAGATTAAAGCTTTGCCTGAATCAGTGCATTAGTGATCATCAGTCAGCTTTTGTTCAGGGCAGAAAACTTTTAGATAATGTTATAATTGCACAAGAGGCATTTCACTATCTGAATAGACATTCATCAGGTAGAAACTTTCTACCTTCATGGCCTTGAAACTTGACTTAGTCAATGCATTTGACCGAGTAGAATGGAACTGTCTCAAGAAAATTATGCTGCAAATGGGTTTTCACCAGGACTTTGTCAAGCTTATTATGGTTTGTGTCACTTCTGCATCTTTTTCTTTTAAAGTGAATGGGACTGTTAGTGGTTATGTCACTCCTTCAAGAGGAATAAGGCAGGGGGATCCCTTATCCCCCTACCTTTTTATCATTGTGGCAAAACTATTATCAGCACTAATCTCTGATGCTTGCAACAAAGGTCATCTTCATGGGCTGAAACTCTCTAAGAATGGACCAGTCTTATCTCATTTGTTATTTGCAGACGATTCTTTATTCATTTGTAAAGCTGGAGTGGACCAAGCTAATGTTCTCTTAAATTTGCTTGAGAAATATAAGTTGTTTTCAGGGCAACAAGTCAATCTCCAGAAATCTGCAGCTTTCTTTAGCAAGAATACCCCTCAACAGCTTAAACAGTCTATCTGCAGCTCTCTTAATGGTATTGTGGCTCACAGATCTACCAGGTATCTGGGACTGCCTTTGGGCATTGGTAAGTCTAAGAAAGAGGTTTTTGACTATCTTCTCACCTCTCTGAAGTCTAAACTTAGTAGCTGGAAATCAAATTTACTTAGCCCTGCAGGAAAGGAAGTGTTACTCAAAGCTGTGGTTCAAGCTCTTCCCATTTTCTCCATGTCTTGCTTTAAAATCCCAATTACCCTTTGTGTTGAGTTAGCTAAATTGTGTGATGAATTCTGGTGGAAGTCAGGCAATCAGGACTCGAAAGGAATACACTGGAAGAAATGGTCTCTTCTTTCTCTTCCAAAAATGCAAGGAGGTCTGGGATTTCTTGACTTCAGACTCTTTAACCAAGCTTTGATTTGCAAGCAGCTTTGGAGGATAGCTACCAATCCCCACCTTCTTGTTAGCAGAATTCTCAAAGATAGGTACTTTCCCAACCATTCTATTATTCATGCTGTCAAAAGTCAGAGTGGATCCTGGATGTGGAACTCCTGGTTGGAGATGATGCCTTTGTTTTCTCAGTGGCTTAAAGTTGAAATCAGAAATGGTGTTAGTACCAGGATCGCAGATCATAATTGGGTTCCACACTTTGCCTCACCTACTCCACAGCTCATGGAACTTGCTAGAGATCATCTGATTTGGGTTAAGGATTTGTTGCCAGATGGTAGAGGTTGGAATGATTGGCTCATCAAACAAGTTTTTTCTGAACAAGACAGTGTGGCCATCCTCAATATCTCTTCTCTGAAACCTGACAAAGAGGATAGACTGTACTGGGGACTTCACCAGAAAGGAATCTTCACAGTCTCTTGTACTTACACCTATCTTGCTGAGAAGAAACTCTTACAACTGGATATCCCAGAATGCAGCTCCTCAACTGCTAAAGGTAAAGCTCTTCTATTCAGATGCTGGAAACTGAAAATCATGAATAAGGTTAAACATTTTATCTGGAAATGCATCTCTGGTACTCTTCCAGTGGCTATTCATCTTAGAAAAAAGGGCATTGACATAGAGACTACATGTTCTATCTGTGGAAATCAGCCTGAAACAGTTGAGCACTTGTTGTTTACTTGCCCATGAGCTCAAAGAGTATGGGACCTCTCCCCTGTACAATGGGATTCAAACACTTGCAGCACTGAAACTTTCAAGGGATGGTGGCAACAAATTTGTTCTCTTGACTCCTCAGAGGTAGCTGAAGCAAGAATACAACTGTCCACTTATCTTCTTTGGTGGCTCTGGAAGTCAAGGAACCTGTGGGTCTTTCAAAAAACACTCATACCAGCTCACAGATTGATCAAGGCAGCACACTTAGACTGGTTGGAATTTCTTCATGCTGTTGGATGATTTCTGTGGATGCTTCTCTTAGTTTCTTTTGATTAGCTGCTTTCTTTTTCTGGTTGTTGTATTTTGATGTTGGAGTTTGTCTATCTTGCTAGGCTTTGTAGCAGTGGCGGGTGATTAAACTCCTTTTTTTCCTTTTCTCTTTAGTTCCTTTGTTGAGGTTTTAGGCCATCTTGTATGAGCCTCTCAGTTTGTTGTTTCCGGTTAGTGGTTTTTATTTGTATCTTGTATTATTGGATCCTTTGAGTTTTAGTTATACAAATTTCTATCGTTTCAGGAAAAATATATATATATATATATATATATATATATATATATATATATATATATTGAAGAGAAAGCAAACTTGTGATAACAATCGATAAATATAAATCTAAACCCTGTTGGACTATAACTTTTGGACCAGGCAGTTTGAATAGAAATAAAGAAAATGAGAGACAAAATTTCATTAGGCAGTACATAAAAGAAAAATGCAAAACTGAAAATTCACTCACTGTTTCTACATTACCTTTGTAGTTATCAAAAGGTAAACCATTAATGGGTATTGATTTGTAACCTATACTCTTCAGCAGCTAACCTACAAAATAATCGTCAAATATAACCACATAAAAATTGTTTCCAATATCACCTAATTATGCTAGAAGAAAGGGAAAACAAAAGCTTGGTGATTAATTCACCTTCCAATGATCAATTAGTCACTGTATGAACCAAACCAACTATCTATTCAATTCAACTTCCTATTTATCTTTTACATTTCCTTTCTTTTTTTTCTTCGTCTACCTATAAATAGGTTGCAGATTGCCACACACACAACCACCTCAACCTCTCAGTTCTAGACTTTAGAAAGGTTTTCACTTATATATATTCGTATATACATCATAAAACATGCTAAAGCAATAAATATTTAAACCTAAAACATAAAATCCCATGGAAAAACAAAAAATTGTAAATAAATATCAGAATATATGCAGGCATCTTAATGTTGAGTTCAGTATAACTTGCCCGCATGACACATCCTCATATACCCCTGTACCTACTGCAACTTGCTTCAATTCATCATCTCCTACAACAAAGCTAACAAATCTTACAGAGGGTTAAAATATTTACATGTGCGCCATCAACTGTCTTTTGAATAAACTTATCTTTTCCAAAATGATATACATCCATGCATCAGCGGAATAATTTAGGCATTTTCCCATTATATCAGATCTAGTTCCAAAATGGTAACCTAACAGCATAAAAAATAAATCATGTAGGAAACAGTATTAGTTCTTACTGTCAGTAAGAATGTAGAATAAGTTTCTATGGAGAAGATATACCTTTTAGAACAGTTTTCTCAAGCCGAACACGACCATTCTTATCATCAGATTCAAGAAATCTCTCTAGCTTGTGGAAAAAGACAAAGTGGAGTTCGTGTTAACCAAGAATAGGTGCATGCCCCGAGCTTGTTCATCCTCTGCTCTGCGTATATCGGCCACCCAATCATCGGTATCCTGCACGACACAGCCTCCAGGATGGAGCTCCGGCTAGTCGGTCACGAATCCGGCCACCGCTGTTGTTCCATCACCACTCTCTGCGGGGCCAATGACTTTATACGTAACCCTTACCTTAGTCCTCTCCAGAAACCCCTCCATAAGCAATTTGCAGATAAAAAGCATAAGATTAGTTCTCACCCCAATTAGAAATAGAGGCAATAATCAAAATCCGTTAACTACATCAACCAATTGGCAATTGCAATTTGCACATCAAAACAAAATTTTTTACAAAAATAAATAAATAAATAAATTTACCGTCCGCACTTCATCATCTGCCGAAAGTCTCCGAAGTTGACGCTCCCGTCGCCACTTATGTCAACGTCAACCATGACGATCATATTCTGGTACTCATCCGGCGTCTTCACCTACTTCAGCCCCATCGTCGCCAGCACAGACCTTAGTACATCCGCCGTAATGAACGCACCCCATCCCAATGGAACGCGTCCCATCTTCAAGTTAACTAGTCTTTCACTAAATCTAAGTGCAGTTTTTTCTATAATTATCCCTATTTCGAATCATTATCCAATATACATATAGATAAGATTGAACTGCAATAGAACGGATTGCAATATTAAATCCTACATGAAACTTACGCGACAAACCAAGTCCAGCTAAAATTTTTCCATTTCCCAAAGTCAAGTGCTTTTTATATTGTCGATCATCAACTGCAGCAGCTACAGTTGTTATCCATGGGCTGTAATACACCATAGTCTTAGGTGAAGGGCCTCCATTCCCAGCTACCTGAGCGACAAATACTCCAACTTTCATAGCCGAAAGAAGGGTTATATCGAAAGAGTTTAGGTAAGTAATCTTCGTATTACTTGGGGGACTGTTGGGGCCCACCGAAAGATTTAGAATATCGACACCATCATGAACTGCCTGTTATAACATATCGAATCGTGTGAGTTTGCTCTGTACTATTAATCAAACAGAAAATTAATAAATAAATAAATACATAAAAAAGCATCACTATAATGATAGTTATCAAGATTTTATTCTATATTATCAAGATTTTCAGTTTGTCTTTTCCGCTTTTTGAGCCTAAGCATAATTTCGAATCAGAATCTTTAAATTATAGAACATGCCAAAAGCAATGCTTCTGTCTGAACTCCAATGTTATAAGCTTTGCATAAATAAAACAGAAATGCACACACACAAAACTTCACATTTGAGAATACCTGATCAATGGCGGCAACCACATCTGCAACAAATCCTCCGAACAATCTGTAGAGTGCCTTGTATACAGCAATCCTACACAAAGACAAAAAAATCTACTAATTGAACAAAAAAAGGCAATCAATCGTCAAACTATCTGTAATACAATTTTTCGCCCCCCAATGGAAAACCAGGAATGCCTCCCGCACGTCCTCTTCACCGCCGTTCCCCTCGTCGCCTTAGTCATCTTTCATTGCCGCCGCTTACAGGGCGCCGAACTCGTCGGCGTCAATCTTCCCCATCATCGCCCGCAACTTCTCCTCCAGCACGCAAATCCATTAATTAGAGATTGATGCCGACAGGGAAGCCGATTGAGCTCCGTTGTGCGTATATGTTTTGATCTGATTTGGGAGATTTGGTTTTGGGAGAATTGGGAGCGGTGGCGAGAAATAGTTGGGATCAGATTTGTTGGAGATATGCGAGAATAATTGGATCTGATTTTGATCGGTTCCCCCAATTAATTTTGAATGAGATTTTCTCTAATTTGGATAGTGCAAGTGAATTAAAAAACGTGGATAGTAACTAATGCAGATAAATAAGGAGATTCAGTTGGAATCAAAATTTCAAATCACAATTTTGAATTTCACGTTTTATAACATTGCCATATTCAGTAAGTCAACTTGATTGACTGACATTTTTTTATACTTTTCTCATTTGATTTATTGACCTCCCTTTTTCAATATACTAGTACAGTACCCGTGCGATGCACGGGGGGTTAAAATCTCCATCCCTTTTACAAAGCAAATTTAAATTAAAAATCAAAGTACGTAGTAAAGGAAACATCATGTCATTAATAAATAATAAACTAATAAATATAACGGAAAATAATCTATATATTATTGAACACTTCCTTATATACAACGTTCATGGTTTGATTTGTTGGCAATTCATCGTCGCCACAAATTAGGATTTTCAAACCAATTCTATTTGTGACACGGGAGACAGCTACATACAACTGCCCATGACTAAACACCGGTTTCTTAAGAAATAAGCCCACATGAGACAACGATTGTCCCTGACTCTTATTTATAGTCATGGCATAAGAGACCATAATGGGAAACTGACGACGTTGGAATTTGAAAGGAATTCTAACATCAGATGGAGTTATAGCCATTCTTGGAATCAACACTTTATCACCTTCGTGATCGCCAGTGAGGATCTTACACTCGAGAACATGAGTGGAGAGCTTTGTCACTACCAATCGTGTCCCATTACACAGACCCATAGAATGGTCCATATTCCGCAATAGCATGACTGGAGTTCCAATCTTCAAGTACAACTCATGATTGGGTATTCCAGAACACTTTATACTATTCAAAAACTCGGGCGTATGGAGATCGGACAAAAAGTCATTATTAGAATCTGATTTGCACGTACTGTCAGAGCTCAAGTACGTACGACCATCCGACAAATTCAACGATGTCATGTACTCATTGATAGAATCGACAATATCCAAAGTCGGCGCTAATATAGCCCTGTCCTTCAAATAACTTGGATCGTCGGTTGCATCCTTAAACATTGGGTATGTGCTTTCAACAATTTGAGCAATAGGGTCATCAGATGGTTGGAGCAATATGTCATCGGGTATGTCAATCATTGCACAACCATCGTTCGCCCCCCCTATAGTTCCATCTCCAATGCTGGCTATCCAATCCGCAAACCGAGCAAGCTCATCACGTTCTTCTGAATTAGCCATTCCCTGAAGGCGCATGTTTTTCGTAAGCCTTAGCACAGTGCAACTTCTCCATATGTCAGAAGCATTGATGGTAGCATTAACTATGTCCTGACGGCTACCCTTTGGAATGACGGGAAGGATTTGTCGGAAATCTCCACCAAAAACAACAGCTTTCCCGCCAAACGGTTTGTCCTTGTTTGAGGGGTCAATTGCTCCCATAATACTCTGCAGAGATGTCTGTACAGCTTCGAAGCAGTGTTTGTGCATCATTGGAGCCTCATCCCATATTATAAGAGAAGCACGAATTATCAATTCGGCTAGAGGGCTCGACTGATTGATGTCGCAAGTAGATTCCTGGTGTGGATTCAATGGTATAGAAAATCGGGAATGCGCCGTTCGGCCACCTGGCAATAAAAGCGATGCTATTCCGCTAGATGCGACGCATAAGACTATGTTACCCTTGGATCTCAAACCAGCTGATAAGGTCCTCCACAGATACGTCTTCCCAGTTCCACCATAACCGTATACAAAAAACACACCGCCTTGGCCTGATTCAACAGCGGACATAATTTTGGCGTAGACACTCTTTTGTTCATTAGTCATGTTTTGAAGAAGCGTATCATGTTCAACAGTGAGGGCCTTTCGATCATAATTCAACTCATCTAATATCAGACGATTCGAAGTTGAATGCATGCTGTCCCTGTCCGGATATGGCATAGATGAATATTCTCGAAGACTTGTACCACGACGCCTCAATAAAGCCTCAATCTCAGCAAGGGCTAGGTTTTTAATTTGCTCCTCAGTAAGTTGTAAATCTATCAAACCGAACACATAAACAAAGATAAAAAAACACTTTTAATTAAATATTCCTATTTGTATATAAACTTGAAAATGAATAGTTATTAAAATTGATATTGATAGATGAAAACAATTAGTACCGTCGTTATTGAAAAGTCGACGCTGTCTGTACAGGATGTCATCAGACATACATTGCCAACACTTATTCCATACGTCATCTGGTCTACCAAATGAACCGGACACCAATAAAGATGCGAACATGCGTCTAAGGGAGTCTGCAGATGCCCACTGACTTGCCTCGGTTATGCCATCTACGTACTCTCGATCGTCCTCTAACAAACCTCGTTCATAGCAAGCATCACGATACGTCAGATACTGGACATCACCGACCTTCATATAGTCCTCATGACATGTTGCCCCACGCACAACAGGAAGCAAACATCGCAAGTAATAATTATCTCCACAACCGGGAGGCACGTACCGCAAACGACCTACAGAGGGTTTGTCCTTGTTTTTTCGAGGAGTCCACTGTCTTATTGTTGTATCCCACACAAACTTGGACGGTGCCTCAGCATAAGTTATTTCCCTCGCTGCAGGATACTGTTTGTTTGCCTCGAACCACGCAAGAAATTGGCTCTCATCAACAGTGGGTTTACGGAGAACGTTTAGAAGATTTCCATCATCGTCAAATAATATTCTTTGTTCTCCAAATAAATGGAAGTTCAAGCGCTGGACGGGAGGTTTTTTGTACTGCAACTCCCAACCGAACAACCGCCATGACGCCTCACACGATGATATGTACCGACAATCGTAATACATTTTTATCTCATCCAACGGTCTTTCAATGTCCGAATCGACAGAAGTTTGATAAAATGATGCCGTCACACGATCGTTACCCTTGTTGACATATTTGAATAGGTACTTTATAGATCGTGATTGATTGCACCACTCAACATTAATATGCGCTCCAAACTTCATAAGCAGACGCCGGTTATGAGGCACAACAAAACCGTTGTTGACAACAATACCATTCTTTTCAAGAGAAGTTCCATTGTCACGACGCCTATACCGTGGATAACCCTCTTCGTCAACCGTTGTTGAATCAACAAACTTCTTAGGAAATCGTTTGGTGCATTTTCCATCCACCATACACGGCGAGTCTTTTTTTGCCAGACCACACGGACCATGGATCATATGCTCCTTTACGGCCTCGTAATATTGTGGATCAGAAGATTCATCTGGTATCTCTGCTGATATAATTCTGTCTATGTCTGAAGGGTTGGGAAACTTTGACTCTTTCGAAAGGAATAACAATATATGAGCATGCGGTAATCCACGTTTTTGAAATTCGATCGTGTAGACAACTGCATAAGAAAAAATAATCAATAAATGAATAAATGGAAAAATTATATATATCATCATCAAGTCAAATTCAAATTGAAATATGAAAAAAATAGTAAATAAATCGTTTGTGGATATGATTAGGAAAGGACTATAGTAATTATATATAAAATATTACACGTCTCACCTGCTATTACTTTCCCAAAAATTTGCTTTTGACTGAAATCCCTAATCAATTCCTTAAGTTTAGCTCGAAATACCCTACACATGATATCTGGTCGATCCTCAGCTCGCAATTTCTTTGGCTCGAGATAACGAACAATTTCCGGCCATTTGGGGTTACAGGTGAAGGTAATAAACAAATCAGGATACCCAGCCCATCTGCAAATTGCCATTGCATCTTGATAGTTTTCAATCATATTCCGAGCACCACCAGTGAATGATGAAGGAAGAATAATTCTTTTTCCTATGGTACTGGGATTGGTGTCGCCACGAAGAACGGCCTCAGCCACACCATTATACAAATCACAACGGAGCTTTTTCTGATTGAGACGAATGTATCTCAACCTTGCAGATTCAACCATGGTATAAGCATCGACTATAAATTGTTGGTATAACCTTCTGGAAGAAACAATAGTCGAAGGTTCACAATCTCTATCATGCATTCTGTATGCAAAGTACTCCCTTACACTGACATGTTTTCGGCCATCTTCACGTACTGGCGTGCCTTCAGAAAAAAGTATGTCTTCTCTGTACCCATCCTCACCATAAGGCAACAGAAGAGGATATTGTAATGCCAAGTACGAAGCATTTAGTTCATTAATCCGTTGTAGACGACCACTCTTAGTTTCAACCAATATGTCCCTTTCACCCAAAGCCTGGTCAAAATCGCCAACAACCAATATAGCAAGTTCGGAACTCGTAGGTAAATTATATTGCCTAGCATCTTTGTATCTCCTACCAATCAAACGCACTCGAACATTAGATTCGCCCAGCTCTCGCATTCTATCTCTGGCCATACGAAATGATTTGACCAGTTCGTTGTGTTGGTCTAACATTTGCTTTAATCCAACAACTATTTCCTCATTCAAATTATTACTGCCAGATCCATTCCTGCACATCAATAAGTACATATTATATGTCAATATTATAAAATTTTAAAAAGCTACCTATAGACATGTTCTATATAATGAACAACATAATTAAAGAATATATTTATAA